GGGGGCCCCCCCCCGGGGTGTCCCGGACCCCCCCACCCCCCGAGGGCCCCCCGCAGCCGCCCCGAAAAAGCCCCTCCCCCCTTCGGGAGCCGCCGCCCGCCGGCGTTTCGGGCCGCCGGAGGGCCAAAACAAGCCTTCCCGCGGGGTCCCCCGCCAGGGCCGCCCGGCGCCGCCGCCTATTAAGTCGGGAAAGAAGGAGGAAGCCTGGGTAAGGCGCGAGACGAGCGGCCGAGCTTTCTGCGCAAAGCTTTCGCGTGCTCCGAAGAGGCCGCCAGCCGCCGCCGGGGCAGCCGGCGCTGCAGCCGCCGGCGCTCCGAAAGCAAAGCCCCCCCCCGCAGCGCCTGGCGCCGGCGCGGCCGCGGCGGCGCCGAAGGAGAAGGCGCCGGCACCTGTCCACCCAGAGACGTGTGCTGACGCGTGCTGACGGCGCGTCCGATCCTCTGCGACTGAGCACCTGCGGCTGGCGCCGCGGCACCAAAGGCTGGCGCCGCCGGTGCGGCGGCGCCAAAGGGAGATGCGGCAGGAGTGGCCGCGCCGCCGAAGGGCGACGGCGTGGCGGCCGGAGTGGCAGCCGCTCCGAAGGCGCCCGCCGCCGGCGCGGCCGCGCCAAAAGCAGGGGCCGCAGGGGCCGCACCAAACGCCCCGGGCGCGGCGGCTGCGGGAGCTCCAAAAGCCGGGGCCGCCGCCGGAGCGCCGAAGGCCGGGGTGGCGGCTGAAGCGCCGAAAGCTGGAGTCGCCGCCGGAGCGCCGAAGGCGGGCGTGGAGGCCGAGCCTCCGAAGTTGAAGGCCATGAAGACTCCGCGCTCAACACACCTAAAAAGAAAACACGCTAACTTTTCCATACGGAGCGGGGTCGCCGGAGGCGGAGTCAGCGGGATCAGGCAGAGAGGAGGAAGCTGAGGCGGGGCCGCGAGTGTGTGTGTGTGTGTGTGTGTGTGTACAAGAACACTCGGAGGGGAGGTCTGGCCCCACAGTCATCGCGTAACCATCGGAAGGCGAACAGGAGGGAGGACCGAGGGGAGGGAGGGCCCCCCTCGGAGGGGGGGTGAGGAGACCGTGCGCGGAGCGGGGGGGGTTCCGAGCGGTGCTGTCAGTGAGGAATGGGTGTGTTGTCGTGCTAGTGTCTGGTGTCTACTAGCCGCTAGCCCCGAGTAGAGGGGGCGTTCCGCTGCTAGGGGAAACCCGGAGCGCAGAGCTAACCCTCGGGGACCCGTGTTTACTTTAAGGCCCTTTCCCTGCGAACGCGCACCCCCGGGGCTAGGGCTCTCTTGCCCGCAACCCGATCCCGATCATCCGGCCCGCTGGGTGCGCTTCTTAGCTCCCCGGCCCTGGATGATTGTGAGGCTAATGACTGCACTCCAAGTGCTCCAAAACGCAGGGAGATGACGAGCTCTAGGAGAAGCGGCCGCCGAGCCCTCCCCGCGGCGCAACTCTAGCAGCGCCGCGGGCAGGGCGGCTCGCATAGCGCCCGCGCGCTCTTGCTCGCGCTCGAGCGTTCGATGTCAGATCTGCCTCACCCAGGGCTGGACCGCTATTCAGCAACGACCGCGCCCAACGTCGTACTCGGGCGACTCATATTCTTCGTAAATTTACGGCCATCCCTCACACAGCACTGGGCACGGGACTGGCGCGCACTGATTTGCCGAAGGCAGGGGAGGTGCGTGGTAAGGAAAGGTAAACGTCTCCACACACACAAAAGTGGTGGGGCAATGGGGGGGCGACCCTCGCATCTCTCTCCCGGGGGGCCGGCAGCAGCGGCAGGAGCCCCACCGCATTATTGGGTGTGCGCGTGCCAGGCGGAGCGTGTAGTTGCGCGTCACCTTGTGTGCGCGCGTGAGTGCGGCTTGCCCGCTGTGCTTACGCCTTCTCCGGAGGCGCCTCCTCTTGCTCTGAGTAAGCCGAGATGATCTCTTGGTAGTATTGTGCGGCGCCTTCTGCAGTTTTTTGAATGGCGTTGGCGTACTCCTGATAGATCTCCTGTGCAGCAACGATGGCGAATACCTCGAAAACAATGAAGGCCAGAGAAACGAGGACGACGAGCCCCTTGCCCAGCATATATCCCCTCCGTGTCCATTTACCCATTTGGTTTGTTCTTCCGATCTGGGCCAGCCGGGACTTTTCGTACGGCATCGTGTCCAGCTGGTTAGCGAGAGCTTGCCTGGTGTTCTTGTGCGATATTTGAAACCTGAACTGTTTCTTTTGCGTTTCGCTCCATTGGCCCGGCTTCGTGTCCATCATCTCGCGAGCTGTAGCCTTCAGTGCGTGGCCATCCTTCGCAGTTAGACCTGTTATTTTACCATTTTCGACGACATAAGATTGGCCCCTAGCCTCGATGTCGTAAAGGACTGTCTTGACCAGGCTGTCGTCGAGAGAGGACAATTGCTCGGCACTCGGAAACGCAGCTGCGCGGTTCGTAAATCTGACTTCATTCCACAGATTTGCTCCAACGCCAGAGCCAGATCCTTTTCCAATCATTCCAGGATCCTGATAGTTGATTCCGATGACTTTTGATGCCGGCGGAGTGTACCTCCTGGTGAACCCATAGTCATAAATTGGGGCGCCAGCCCTCCACCACTTCCACACCGATGAGGGACGAAGCTGGTACGCGCTCATGAAGAACACGGGCACGGTATAGAGCCCCAGGATCCCCTGACTGATCGGAGCATAATTTGGTATCATCTCACCAAAGTACTTGGTGTTTATGTCGGTCAGCCCATCAAGCTCCACCTGCTCCAGCTCGCCCACGGTGGCGTTCGCCAGCTCAAGCATGTATCGTCTGAGCTTCTCGGGTTCTCCACTGAACTGGAGCGTGGCCGGCGGCGCGGCCACAGGTGGCGCACGTGCTCCAGCCCTCCAGGTGTGGCGAGGGGGGGCATGCAGGTGGCTTAGAGGGGCCGAAGCCACCTGGAGCCACCTGCCCGGGCCCAGGTGGCGCACGTGCTCCAGCCCTCCAGGCAGGTGTGGCGAGGGGGGGCAGGTGGCTTGGAGGGGGGCGAAGCCACCTGGCGCCACCCGAGCGGTCACATGGCCACAGGCGGCGTTTGGAATCTACTCCAGGTGCTTTTTGCACTGTTTGCCCATGGCCACAGGCGGCGTAAGCCATCTGCTCCAGGTGCTTTTTGCACTGTTTTGTCCATGTCCACAGGCGGCGTAAGCCATCTGCTCCAGGTGCTTTTTGCACTGTTTTGTCCATGTCCACAGGCGGCGTAAGCCATCTGCTCCAGGTGCTTTTTGGACTGTTTTGCTCATGGAGCAAGTGGCTAAAGCCACCTGCATTTTGTGCAAAAAGCTGCAAAGGACTCGTGGAGGCACGTGGCGCTTTCCGCGTGTGTCTCGTGCAAAATCCGGCACTTTGTGGCTTTCAGGTGGCACGACGCGAGTCAGGTGGCGTGGAGCCTCCTACCTGGGCCCATCTATGAATCCAATATACGTGGCTGGAATTACCCCTGGAATTGCGACTCGCCGCTTTCCTCCCGCTGTGATTCTGTGTGAGCTCTGAGTCTTGTCTGCCAACAATATACCTCAGAACACAGGTACACCACGGTATTGGAGAAAACGGCAAAAAACAAATGGGGCCCGCTCGTTGACGGTGACGGTCGCGGCCTTCCGACTCGCGCCTCCGCCTCACTGGCACTATTGTAGCCCTGGCCGGTGCGCGTGCGAAGTTGAAGTTCCGGAGTGAAAATTCGAACGCGTTCTCTGACGGTGACCAAAAAATGTCCACCTCAGAGGCACCTCCGGAGGCAGGCCGCCGCACGCCGGCGACACAGCTCCAGCTGTCGAACTGACCCTCAGCTCCTCTCAGAGCGGGAACTGTGACGAAAGTTGACTGAGGCGGTTGTCAGGAACCATCATACGGATCACATGGTGGCTCTCTCATGACGGGAGACCGCCCGACCACTCCTGGGTGGCACTGCCACCGGTGTTGCTCGACGTCCTGTCGACAGCGTGCCGACAGCGACACAGACCATGTGGGACGCGTCGAGTATCGACCTCTACTGCTTACCCAGCCTTCGAGTGTATCCTGGCTGTGGCCCCACACCCACTGGTGTCCATCTCAGAGACCGCAGGAGGTCATGAGGGTCGGAGGGAGTGCCAACCCCACAATGCCTAAAAACCCCCAGCCCAGTAGCATCCACATGGACACAGCTCACAGAGGATATTCTCATGGTACAAACAAGCTCCCAAGCCTGTGCAGGCGATTAGTTCAG